CAAATGAACTACCAGGATCTGGAGGAAAGTGAACAATTATTAAATCAATCAGTAACGGTTTATGATTGACATTAATATGCACTAACAAGACTCAAGATGATCTAAAATAGACCCTTTAGGGAACTCTTCTTTGAATCCCCATGGATTTAATCCTAAACAAAACCTCTTAAACCAGATCACAGCTCGAGTTTAGCTTTTCTTAAGCCTTGCCGATCAATATTGGAAATAACCAGAGGATCAATCGACTAATTAGGTGACAAGATGGGCTAATAACCCATGATACCAGATTAGCTTAAACCCTACTGACATATTTAATAAAAAAAATACTGAGTAATAAATTCTTTCGCAAAAAAAGGGAAAACTATTAGTCATCTTGTAAAAGATTAATGTTTTAAATATTTCACAATCGATGTTTAAATGAGCAGACATTTTCAGTATTTCCTATACATTGTTCTTTATTACAGAGAAAGTCTTATTTCTTTTAAATTGGCTTGAATATGAAAAACTTTTGATTTATTTTAAACCAATTTTAAGTCAATATAAGCCCCCTTAAGCAGCAGTCACACAGCACTGTTCGCCCCATAGACTTCCATTCAAACGGCAGACCAGAAATGCAAGCTCATGAAACAAGTTTCGCAGATCGCTGCGTTGGAAATTTCCTGCTTGGTGAACTCTGACCTGCGAAATCGAATCACTTGGCTGCATTTGACATTAGAAATTTAAAATATGTACCAATTGCTCATTTTTAAAAATGTCTAATCAACTTGTTTAATCAATTTTTGCAACGCCATACGACAGAATTTTGCATCCTCAAACTCCAGTGTGACCGCAGCAATAATATTTATTATCTTGATTGACTACAGATGCAGATCTTGACTTGCCTAATTAACCTAAATTGCCAAGTTAACCTAGTTAGTTAGATGCTTAAATGGCACTTTAAGTTGAATACTAGTATCTTTCAAAATAACTGTGAAGTAATATGCTCTGTCTGTCAAAAAAAAAAAAGTGTTGAAAAAAATATCTTCTCTACGTTTAAACTTTAAATTTCACAGAAAGGCTCATAATTTCAACTTTAACTGCACTAACTGTTCAAACTACATATTTAAAATAAGCTAAATCAACACAGTTCTTGAGTTTTTTTTTTATGTTAAACTTAAATTTGTAAAAACTATAGATTTGTCTTGGGACAACATGACAGAATTGTGTGGAACATTGTTTACAGTGTGTATCATATAAAATTGCTGTGGCATCAAGTGATAAAACATCCAACCATACGACCCAAACGCTAGCACTGACCCCCTCTTTGACCCCATCATTCAGAGGTGATCAGAAGAGCGACTGATCGAACTTGATAATGAAGAAGACCTTAAGCTGTCTCACTGCACATGCTCAAATCTTTAAATCACTCAATAAACAGTGAGAGTCGCCCCCCTTCCCGGTCGTCCGGACATTGTGCGAGGTATTGATCCTGCCGTAGTTTTTAATACCTGGGGTCCGGATCTGTGACATGAGATGGTTGGGGCCCAGGGTAAACACATGGGCCTGGGGTGAGCGCCATACAATAGACCTCCCTCTATGCCTCCACGGGCTCTTTGTGTGACTTTGTTGCGCGAGAAAAACAGCTGCTGGAGAAAGAGTTTGTGGTCAGGCACCTGCTGGAGAAGAAGGTCTCCATACATCAGTATTGACATGCTGGGTAACTGAGGAAGATATAGAGTAAAACTGACAGGTTACGATTAGACATCACAAAATACTCTATATTGTCACCTTCAATGATACACTTTAGGTATGGGACGATAACCGGTTTCATAGTTTACCGTGGTTTGGAAAAGTCACAGTTTTAAACTTTCCTGCTATGCTGTTCCTACAGTATATATATGCTTGTTTTTGTTATGTTTATGTGTTGTCAAAAACTATTTCAGTTATTTATTTAAGGCAACAGTAACCCCAGCAGGAAAGGACCATCCATATCTAAAGCTGGTCAGCTTACGATTCAGAAAACATTAGAAAAACAAATCACTTCTACATCCAAGCATGCTATGGGCCTGTACAGTGCAGTGACTTACTTTATATCCAACACAAAGTTGTTGATTCTTTAGCCTCACATTTTCATTCATTCATTTACCTTCAGCTTAGTCTATATTTCAGAGATCACCAACCATACTAGCGCATGTTTTACGTAGTGGATGCTCTTCCAGCCACAACCCAGTACTGGGAAACACCCATACACTCTCAAATATACCCACACTTATACACTAGAGCCAATTTAGTTTATTCGATTCACCTATAGAGCATGTGTTTGGACTGTGGAGAAACCAAAGCACCCAGAGGAAACCCACGCAAACATGGGGAGAACATGCAAACTCCACACAGAAATACCCAAGAAACTGACCCAGCCTGGACTCCAACCAGCAACCTTCTTGCTGTGAGGCGACAGTGCAAACCACTGAGCCACCCTACCCAGACATTTTAAAACAACTTATTTAATAACAATACTGTGATGCCATAATATTTGTAATCCAAGGTTATCATACCGTCAGAACCTTGTACCGGTGTTCTGTTGATTTTTCCTACCTTGTAAGATTGTCCCAACTCCCAATCACAAAGTAGGTAGCACATTTTTATGACGCAATATCCTACCCATCAGATTTTGCTACCAGTGTAAATTTTAATGTGGAGTTGTGTGATATGAAGCTATAATATCACCCTGACCTACCGAATCCATTCAATCACCATTCATCAACCATTCAATTACACCTACATTTTAAAATCTTACATTTTTGTATGACTGAACTTGTATGAATTGGTATGAATTAGCCACTAAACTGGTAAAATGTTAATTAGTTACATTTCCTCGTGAGATCAGGCTGTTATTTCTGATAATGTACATAGAAAGCTAATTAAATTTAGGCAAACAGTCTGTTTTAATGTTTCAAATATGCTTCTAGCATTTTAAAACAGGTGAAAACCTATTGCCTTCAGAACTGCCTTAATCCTTTGTGGCATAGATTCAACAAGGTGCTGTAAATATTCCTCAGAGACTGAACATTTTCATGTTTTATGACATGGTGCGTTATCCTGCTGGAAGTAGCCATGATACTAATGGGCCCAAAGTGTGCCAAGAAAATATCCCCCACACCCTTACACATCCACCACCAGCCTGAACCGTTGATACAAAGCAGGATGGATCCATGCTTTTATGTTGCTGATACCAAAATCTGACCCTAAAGTTCAAATGTCGCAGCAGAAATTGAGACTCATCAGACCAGGCAACGTTTTTCCAATCTTCTATTGTCCAATTTTGTTGAGCCTGCTTGAATTGTACCCTCAGTTTCCTGTTCATAGCATACAGGAGTGGCACCCGGTGTGGTCTTCTGCTGCTGTAGCTCATCCTCCTCAAGGTTGGTTCAGAGATGCTCTTCTGCATACCTCGGTTGTTGGAGTGGTTTTTGAGTTACTGTTGCCTTTCCATCAGCTGGAACCAGTCTGGCCATTCCCCTCTGACACCAACAAGACATTTGCGGCCATAGAACTGCCGCTCACTGGATATTTTCTCTTTTTTTGGACCATTCTCTGTAAACCCTAGAGATGGTTGTGTGTGAAAATCCCAGTAGATCAGCAGTCTCTGAAATACTCAGACCAGCCTGTCTGGCAGCAACACCCATGCCCCGTTTAAAGTCACCTAAATCCTCTTGCCCATTTTGATGCTCTGTTTGAACTGCATCAAATCATCTTGTACATGCCTAAATGCATTGAATTGCTGCCATAAGATCGGCTGATTTGACATTTGCATTAACAAGCATTTTGTGCACCTAATAAAGTGGCCGGTGAGTGTATTGGCAACATTCAATCATTCATTACATTTTTTTTTCGGCTTAGTCCCTTTATAAATCTAGGGTCGCCACAGCGGAATAAACCGCCAACCTATCCAGCACATGTTCCAAGCAGCAGATGCCCTTCCAGCTGCAACCCATCTCTGGGAAACATCCATACACACTCATTCACACACACACACACACACACACACACACTACGGATAATTAAGCCTACCCAATTCATCTATAGCACGTGTGTTTGGACTGTGGGGGAAACCAGTGCACCCGGAGGAAACCCACGCAAACGCAGGGAGAACATGCAAACTCCACACAGAAACGCCAACAGTCTTTTAGTGTATCATCAAATGGTTTTTGGTCAAAATATGTCTGATTAAATTACTTCCTGTTTAAAAGGCATTAAATAAGGACACATTGCTTCACATTACAGTTTTATTTTCACCTCTGATCCCTGTATAGTATTGTTAAGGTGCTATAAACAGTGTTATAAAATCTAAAAATGTACAGTTAAAAAAAAAATAAATAACTAAACCGCTACAAAAACTTTAATAACATTAAAAAACACTGTACAACCATACTGATCTTTATTTATGACAGGTTTCTGAAGTAATAATTTTTTTAAACTTATGCTTTCAAGGTGAAATGCCTGCATTTAGAGTGTTTCAGCTAAAAATACTGTTTTTTTTATACCTTAAATGACCTAAAATATATATATTTCAAAACTTCTTCCAAATGAAGCTCTGTGCAAATGAATTACAAACAAAACGCTAACCAATTTAAATGTGTAAACAAACTTTACTAATTTGCATACAAATCATAATACTGCGTCTGCTTTACAAGGCAATGAGTCATGAAAATGTCAGAACTAGTTTTACATATTCGCAACTAGACAGCTTTTTTGTCTTTGATGTGGATTGCTTTACATTATTATTAGAAGTGACATCACATCAGTGCTGAAAACACATGGTTTCAAGTATAATTGTGGATATCATGTACAACTATATCACAAACATCCTTATAGTGCAACACAGAGACCTTCACCGAAAGTGACAGATTAAAACACCATCAAAAAAGGATGATTATTAGGGCGCAGGGTCCTTGAAAACATAGGAAACAATAGAGAATACTTTTTAAACTCAACCAAAGTTATCCAGTTACCCCTGCGCCAATCTATGCCCACTTCTGCTGATGATAATGGTCATAACAAGGTCTGTTTTAGCATGGTGGGAATTAGGATTGCTTGTTAGCTCGGGGTTGCTAGGAGCCGTGATGATCTGGGCTCTGCAATCTCCTCTGCTTTGTGTCAGTCCTTCTACTTCTTTGCCCCTCATTTAGACTGCAGGATTTACTCAGATGCAGTTTATCCGACCCAAGTGACGCGCAGCCCATTATGAAGAGCTCCAGTGACTCTTCCTCTTTGACTCTCTGTTCATTGACAATCATTGCGAGTCGTAATATGGACAGAGAGAGAGAGAAAGAGAGAAAGAGACAGAGAGAGAGAAAAAAAAGTCAGGGTCAGAGGTCATCTCTTCACCTTGGCATCCTCTTTGATTTTCCAGATCATGAGCTCCATGCAGGCCCTGGCATCCTCGCTGGAGTCATGCCCTCCCACTGAAAACACACAGATAGGCATGTTATTTAGTTGCATGTTATGAACTAACTAGTCTCAGCCTCAGATTTCAGCTGCTGTCTGGGCCTTCACTACCTTTCTTCACCTCACTTTCTTCATGTGTTCAATACTTTTTTCCCTGCATCAATTCATTTTTTTAAGCAAAACTTAATTTGTCAACTATTTAGATTTGTTTTTTTTTGTATATATGGATTATTTAGTTGTTACCAACGTCTGGTGAAAATGTTCAATCCAATGGCACCTTTATAAATATGTTTTCTAAGAAAAATGGTTGTGTTCAATACTTATTTCCCCACTGTAATATAAGGTATGTTTATCCTCGCTGGAGTCATGCCCTCCCACTGAAATCACAGACAGGCATGTTATTTAGGTGCATGTTATGAACTAAATACTCTCAACCTCAGACATCACGCCAAACACCACCTTAAGACCTTTAGCTAAACATCTGATGCATATGGCACACTTTTCTGGAAAACACTTTAGCAGATCCTCAGTCATCCTCTGATTGGTGTAAATATACAAGATTTCCAGGAGTCGATCTTTTAACCAGCCTGCATGGAAACAAGCTTGAGCGGATAAAAAAAAGCTACCATGTTTATATTGACGACAGTGCTGCTTATTAAACATATAACTTTCGGAGACTATAACGCATCAGTGATTTACTGCCGGTACACCCGTGTCTTTGTACCATTTTTTTATTAAAAACCCAAACAATACAAACATAAAAGGGCAGAGGGTTGCACGATAACTACTGAGAGATTTCAGTTGCTGTCTGGGCTTTTACTGCCTTTCTACACCTTCGTTTCTTTGTGCATTTAATACTTTTTCCCTACATCATTTAATTTATTTTACGCAGAACTTAATTAGATTTGTTTTCTTTGCATATATGGATTTCTTTGGTTGTTACCAACATCCGAGGAAAATTTCAAGTCAACGTCACCTTGATAAATATGCTTTCTGAGAAAAATAACACCATCATTTTTCTCAGTAAGCATATTTCTTAAGGTGATGATGACTTGAAATTTCCCTCAGATGTTGGTAACAACCGAAGAATGGTTTAATACTTGTTTTCTCCACTGTAACGTTCTCTTTTTTTTTAATGTCAGTGAAAACCTGTAAATATTCTGTCATTTTGGTTATAAATTTAAGAAAAAGACATTGTTCAAAACAGTAACTGTTTTGATTTGTGGATACTCACAAATACAACAAAACCTTTCTTTTATAGAACAAAGTCTTTTACACTCATCTCAGTCTGCATGACCTTTATGTAGAAATGTATCACCAAAATAACGAATGAATCTCAGAGCAAAGTCTACATACATGTCCTGCTGATTTCCTATATGTTTAGCTGACAGATAATCGAAAATATTGATGCGTCGATGTTGTAAACTTTAAAAGACTTTCCTGATTGAATGATGCAAAGTTGCGTCTCAGACTGTTATTCTGAGGACATTACAGTCCCAAAAACATGGTGTGGTACAAAACAATACGTGATTGATTGGTTAACCTGTCAGTCATTTATATAGTGGGCAGTCTGCAAAGGACATAGTGGGCAGTCCTTGACCATTCAAAGCAGTCAAAGCTCCCAAGCCTTCAGAAGTCAGTCTGACTATGCAAGACTAGAAACAAACTAAAACAGTTTTGGATAAAACCAAGAGAAGACTCTCAGATCATTTAAGACACAGGTGTCAAAGCCAGTTCCTGAAGGGCCGCAGCTCTGCACAGATTAGTTTCAACTCTAATTAAACCCACCTGATTAAACTAATTGAGTCCTTTTGAGGTTTGTTTGAAACCTACAGGTAAGTGTGCTGAAGCAGGGTTTGAACTAAACTGTGCAGAGCTGTGGCTCTCCAGGACAGGCTTTGACACCTGTGATTTAAGATGTACAAGTGAACCTAATACCACACTCCTAATAATTCAGCTTTGACAAGTACAGTAAACCAGATAAAAAAAAAAAATACACAAAATAATATGCAAATAGCAAAAACGGTATATTGCTAAATGTTATAAATTGTAGTGGCAAAGTTGAAGTACACTTTATGTTAAGGTATCTTTGTTACAGTCCAACTACACATGTAAGAACAGTAATATAAATAAACTTCTAGTATTTACTGAATGGTTAGGGTTAAATGAAGACGGTTATGGTTTGATGCATGTAATTATGCATAACTTATCGTTATAACTAGTAAGAAGAGGGAATTTGAGTGGAAAGGAGACGCTCAAATTAAATGTTACTCACTGAAGTATTTGAAGTATTGAATTGATTTTATTCTCATTTTTAAAATAAATTAAAATTAAATAAATAAATAAATAGAATGTTGGGATTAACATTTATAAAGGTAAATATATGCTGTAGGAGTGCTGTTAAATGTTAGTGAATGTGAACAAATGTTAACAAATAATGACAAAGTGTTTCTAAAATCTTAGACCTTTAGAAATAAGTAAATGCAATTAGCATTTTTTCTTTAGGGTGAAGTATATCCTGTACACTACTTTTTGGTGAACTTCACCTAAATCTAGTCATAATAATGCAGATCAGTACCGTTGTCCTGGATGATGCGTTTGAGGTAGTCGGCCATAAGGTTACGCAGAGCACGTTTGTAGGGCAAGCCCAGACGATGAGGAAACACAATAGCGGTGTCTACAACCATGCTGTGAATGAGCTAGAAAACAGAGAACAGACAGCAGCATTATTCATTCATTCATTTTCTCTTCGGCTTAGTCCCTTTATTAATCAGGGGTCTCAAAAGCGGAATGGTCTTATCCAGCAAATGTTTTACACAGCGGATGCCCTTACAGCTGCAACCCAACACTGGAAAACACCCACACACTCTTGCACACACTCACATACACTAGGGCCAATTTAGCTTATTCAATTCACCTATACAGCATGTCTTTGGACTGTGGGGGAAACCGAAGCACCTGGGGGAAACCCATGTGAACATGGAGAGAACATGCAAACGCCATACAGAAATGCCAACTAATCCAGCCAGGGCTCGAACCAGCAACCTTCTTGCTGTAAGGCAATTGTTTATTGCAAAATTAAGGCAAAATGTTTAGAGCATTTTAAAGGCATATAGTAACTGAATAAAGTAGTACATAATACTTAAACGGTTCATTAACAAAGGTCTCTGGGATCTGGAACGTCATGAGCGTGAGTAAAAAAAAAAAGATGAATTATTCATTTTGTGTGAACTAACCCTTTAAGATAAATAGATATCTCAACGCTGCAATTTCTTGCAATAATACTCCTGTTTTGCAAAGATTATGTATGACAAGAGCACAATTAAAATTCCAAAAAATGCTATGTTAAAATTGCTAACCTTGAGCGCAAACAGGTCGCTCTCTAGACTGTGTCCGATGAGGATGGAGTCTGCACTGAACATGCTGAGCAGCACCGCCTGGACATCCCGCAGGCTGATGGTGGTGTTTTCCAGATCATCCGCAGTCACACCTGAAAACCTGGACACAGCTGTCATGTTAACAAGAAAACTGAAGGTAAATGTGAGTTCTATCTTAACACAAGTCCTACCGTGTGTTGTAATCCACCACTCTGCTCCCTGGTTTGACAAAAGTGTCATAGACCACCTTGAGTTCAGAGTTAATGACGGTCACTCTGGTCAGCTCCAGACCTTGCTTTGTGTAGCACTACAAAACAAGTAATGTAAAAGCTTTAAATCATCTTCATAAAGAGCCTACAGAGTTTCATCCTGTTTCTTTTATTAGGCATTTATCCACTTCTAAACTGAGTGTGGGTGTTTTTAAAGAACTGTTATTCTCACCATTTCACAGTCCAAGGCGTAGACGCCGGCATTACCATCTACTGGCAAGGGCTTGCTAAAAGTCTTTACAAAACCATCCAAAGATTCCTTTCGGCCATCTTGTACATGTTGCTGAAGAAAAAGGAAACAGAAAAACAGTTATTCGTATTCCTCACAGAATGCACACAAGCCTTAATGAACTCTATTCAGTATAAAGCTCCCTCTAAACACCTTATTGAAAGCTTTGTCTGATAGATTCAACTAACGAAAGACTTCATTGTCCTGTTTAGGCAAACAAAAGACTTCTGAACACACTAAAAAAACATCTTGTGTACTTTAACATTATATGTTTGTCATTAGTATATGGTATAATTGCCTATGTATGCTTAAGCTATTTTTGGAAATTTCAATATTTGGTTATTACACCACAGTCCTTATGGAAACATACAATGAATACATTAGGGCTGCACAATGTTAAAAAAAATAAGTCATTGCAATATTTAATTTTTCTGTAAAATATATTGCGATATGAATATCATTTCACCAGAGAGCTGGAATAGCTCCATTTGGGAAGAATTCAATAATTTAGACTGATTTGGAATTATTCTGGGTGTGAATCATGATTAAAATTCATTCATTCATTTTCTTTTTGGCTTAGTCCCTTTATTTATCAGGGGTCACCACAGTGGAATGAACCGCCAACTTATCCATCATATGTTACGCAGTGGATGCCCTTCCAACCGCAACCAAACACTGGGAAACACCCATACACTCTTGCCTTTACACCCATACACTCTTGCCTTTACACACATACACTACGGCTAATTTAGCTTATTCAATTCACCTGTGCAGCATTTCTTTGGACTGTGGGAGAAACCAGAGCTCCAGGAGGAAACCCACATGAACATGGGGAGAACATGCAAACTCCACACAGAAATGCCAACTGACCCAGGGTTTGAACCAGTGACCTTCTTGTTGTAAGGCGACAGTGCCACCCACTAAGCCACCGTGTCGCCCCATGATTAAAATATAATAACAATTTAAAAGCATAAACAAATACAATAGAGCAAATATAAAAGTAAAATAAAGATTAGAAACTGAATAGTCATATGTAAAAACAGCACAGTATAGTCTTTATTGTAAAAATAATCTAATAAAATGAATATTTAATAACTAATTAATTACAAATTTATTACAAATGGTACAATTTCTTGTGCCTTAATACAGTAACAGGCCTTACAACACATGACATTTGTAGAGTTTTAAATAAGGAGTAAATGTTAATCATCAGCATGTTTTTCGAAATAATGGCTCGTGTCTACTTATAATCTCAACATTGCATACCCTGCAATGTGACTATTGCAGACGCGCACATTGTGATATCGATGCTAAAGCCATATATTGTTCAGCCCTTGAAAATACTTTAAAAGGGCTGTACCCTGGCCCGTGCAGAGACCGTCCAAAGGGCATGTGGAGGATACATTTTTTGAAGAGCGGGGGTGGGGGCTGTTGTTTTTGTCGTGCGCGTTCTGATCAGCTGTGTTGTCGTACGCGTACTGTAAAGCGGGGGGAGGGGGTGGGTTGAGCGCGCGTACTCAAGAGCGGTGTTGTCGCGCGCCTACAGAAGGGCGGGACGGAGGGTGTGTCGCGTCGCGAGGGCACTTTTGATCATTTTGGAAGGGCACTTTATATCCAAGACTAAAAAGGGCATGTGCATTGCACAGGTTGAACCCTATGTGTGCACGTGCCTGTTTGTACCAATATGTTTTATGTTACTCAGAGACCTGTTATTAGAACAGATAGAGAAGAAGGATGCCTCAGTTATTTCAAAGAAATAGGATCTTCCCCTTTTAAATGCATGTATGTGTGTGTGTAATTGTTGACAAGCATTATAAATAGATTTATTTTACTTCCCATGTGCCAAAAAAGAAATCATTTAAATGTAAATATGCACATGTATATATAAACATTATGTAAATAATAGAAAAATGGTAAAACTTGGTTTTAAAAAATCATTTGCGGAATGATAGTTAAAATAATTATAGTTTTGCAGATTTTAATTAAAACTAAGCTTGTTCAAATTTACAAGTCACACAAAGCACATTTTAAATCTCATTTAATGGATACAGAAAATATTTGTTGTCTTGAGAAAAATAATGATAGAGGAGACTTACTTTACACACTTCACATCCAGGAGAGCCGACCGCACCTGAACAGCAGTTGTAAAGTGTCTCCCAACCTCCTGGAACTATATAAAACAAATAAACAGATCACTGTTTCCATTGACAGAGAGATAACACACACAATAAACACTGAAACCACATGAAACAGATCCAGAATCTCCTCTCGCATCCACACACTGACCTCTGTTTCTGCGTAACCTGCCCCAGTGATGACTGCACTCCTCTTTACGCACACAGCTGCCGTTAGAGTTCACCTTATACTCAGCTCCACATCGACAGCAAATTTTGGAAAAAGCTGAGGAACACATTTAGGACAAGTTATGAAAGAGGAAGATTTTTCCAAACATAATAAACAGCATGTCTTGTCATAAATCCGTGAACTTGTATTTTTACTGGAAATAAAAACATTGGGCATATGGTGTGATGTAGGTTTGAGTGTAGCACCATCTAGTGGCTTGACTCTGTTATCGAATGTAATGTGAACAATTAGCATAAAGAAACAAGATTATTAAAAAGAAGCCTACGGTCATTGTTTTTCTTCTCTGGTAGGTTATGGACGACAGCGTGTCCTGATATCTCTGGATGAGGCAGAGGGTAGCCGTGCTCCTGCAGCTGCTCTTCTGTCATGGCATATTTTCTTAGTTTCTTGTAGAGAATGGCACCTGAAAAACAACATGCATAACATAAAAAAGCATAAATACCTGGCCCCTATTCTTATCATACGAGAAGTTTAATTGCTAAAACAGATCACTTTTTGGTCAATTTCAGATATCATGCTTTTAAATGTTGTGTATAGAAGAGTGCTATAACTAAAAAATTACTAAATTACTGAAACTAAAGTACTAAAGATTACAACTTCAAAAAACACACATTTAAAATTTAAAATGCAATTTAAAAATACAAAAAGCAGAGTTTTTGCTTTTGCACAAAATAAAATAAAATAATATAATAAAAATATATTAAATAAAATGAAGCAAACCAAATAATAAAATTTAAAAATGAAACAAATTATAAAGGATGGCACATAACAAAGAAAAAAAAACACACAATCAAAACAAAAAAACACAAAATAAAACACAAAACATGAAAGAAACAAAAACACACAAAAAAACAGAAAAACGAAACGAAACACAAAACAAAAAAACTAAACAAAAAAAACACAACACAACAAAACAAAAAGACACAAAATAAAACAAAAAACTAACACAACACAAAAAAAACTAAACAAAAAACACACAAAACAAAGAACACAACAAAAAACTAAAATGACAAAGCAAAACACAGAACAAAGCAAAAAACACAAAACTAAATGTATCAAAACAAAAAAAAACACAAAAAACGAAACAAAACACACAAAACAAAAAATAACACAAAACACACAAAAAAACTAAACAAAACACTAAAAACTAAATACTAAAAATTAAGCAAAAAACAGAAAAAAGTACCTTTAGGGTTGACATCATGCTGTTTGCCGGAGCGGTTAATAGTGAAGCTGGTTGTGGCAGCGAGCCGTCCGCCAAGAACTTCTTCATGAGACTGAGCTTTTTTGTTCACAGATACAGCCGGGCTCTCTGAGGAACAAACAGCACAAAAATCACCAGTTTATGATTAAAACAAGAACAAACATATACTAACTGTCCAAAAAAAGTTGAAACAGTTAAAAGTTAACCTATGGAGCTGACATCTGACAAACTTAATCTGTTCTATTTCTCAAGAAACAAGACTTGCCTTTATAGGAGATGCAGAATCAAGAAATGACCATGATTTAAGGATGTTTCTATATTTCTAATAGAAAGCAACAGTATAATTTTACATATTTATTTTAGTGTGGCATGCAACATTCAATTTTATACGTTATGAATTTTTTGAATTCCTGCTATTTTAAGATCCGTTAAAAGCCCTAAATTGTGTCGGCGCAATAGCCTAGTGGTTAGTGCGTCGACATATGGTGCAGTAGCACGTCAGGGCGTCCCGAGATCGAATCCCGGCTCGAGAACATTTCCCTACCCTACTGCCTCTCTCTCTTCAACTTCGCTTCCTGTCTAAATACTGTCCCATCTAATAAAGGCAAAAAGGCCAAAAATAAATCTTAAAACAAAAAAAAGCCCTATATTGTGAAAAGGTAAATCAATTACATCTTAAGAGTGTGATTGATAGTAAGAATTAAGAATGTAACCGTAGTTTAGAGTACGCTCAGTCACATTAAATTAATGTAGTGAACTGAGAAGTGTATTGATCTGAATGTGTGTTTCAGACTGACTGGTGACAGGAGACGCAGGCGTGCTTCTGCTGCGGAGCTTCTTCACCGTGTTCACAGCCACATTCAGGTAGATGTTTTTACTGCTGCTTCTGTCATAAACCACCTTCTCTTCCTCAAGAGCCTGACAGGAGAGAAAACACCCACAATCATATGTGAGGGGCCCGACACTACATTAAACGAAATGAAATTGTGAAAGCTGTATGGCTCACTAATTGGAAAGCGTCCTGTTCAGAGGAGCAGAACTTCAGGCACTCATCGATGAAGATGTTAAGGTAACGCTGGCGGACAATGGTGGGCACCTTGGCCCCGAATTCAGTAGGAATGACAGGTCTCTTCATGGTAGAGCTCTGTGGTGGGCAGAAAAAGGTTAATCAAATAATGTGATCAATACATCTAGAAATTACAGCAAAAATGTCATGTTTTTATGGTTCGATCTGATTTAATAAATATGTAAATAGCTTGTTTTTAATTGAAGGAATGAATGAAAAAGATTATTGCAACTAATAAACAGATTTTTTGTGTACCAAAGTACCTATTATAAAATGTTTAATTATGCAAGAGTCAGGACTTATAATTAAATTTTTTTTTAATTATATTTCATATAAACAAGTCTTATTAATAGCTGAAATTATAGCCAAACTTAATACCACTTAAAATAATCATTAAAAAGTGTACTACATCACAAATGTTTATTACCTTCATTTTGTTAATTATTTGTTTTTCGTGGAGTAAAATGCAAATGCAAATGTTTTGTTATTTACAGGTTTTATTTGTTTTTTTACAGGGTTATTTACAAGAAAATTTATTTTCTCTAAAATATTAGAGCTCTAAATTACTTTTTGATGGTAAAATAAATGAAATTATTATTAAAAAAATATTTTAAAGCTCTAATAATTTAGAGTTTAATATTATTCAATATTCAATATTTTTCATTGTTTCAGTTTTCAGAGTGATGTGATCATTCAAAAATGTCATATTGACTTTCACCTGGCCATGGAACAGCTTAGAAGCCAATTGTCCAATTACTTTTGGACCCTTAACAAGTGGGAGGCACATATGCAAACCTACCCTACCCTTATAAAACCTACCCTTAAATTAAACCTAACGCTCTGCAGTTTAAGCACATCTTGTTTGTTTAATTTCCAATCCATTGTGTTGGTGTTTTAAGCCAAATATGTAAGAATTATGTCGATGTCTAAATATTTATGGACCTCTCTCTCTCTCTCTCTCTCTCTCTCTCTCTCTCTCTCTCTCTCTCTCTCTCTATATATATATATATATATATATATATATATATACACACACACACACACACACACACAAATATACATATTTATGTAAATATATATATATATATATATATATATATATATATATATATATATATATATATATTTATATATAAATACACACACACACACACACACACACACACACACACACACACACACACACACACACACACACACACACACACACACACACTTGAAGTCAGAACTATAAGCCCCCTTGAATTATTAGCCATATTTATCCCCCCAATATATATAAAACATTAAGTTCAAATAATTAATAACTTAAGAATTTTTTAAGTAATTCATGCTATTAATAAAAAATAAAATACTACAAACCTGACATTTCATACACATGCTGCAAAACATATTTTAATAACTCTTTTGCACAATATTAAACCTTAAATACCTTTTTTGCACAATAGTCCCCTTTAATAGAGTACCTCTCTTGCACAATATACTGCACAACATTGCTCAGCCTCATGTAAAAGTACTTGTATACCCTGTTTGAAGTGTAAATCAAGTATCTTATAGTACATGTTAGTTATGCATAGCTCTTATGTCCAGTGTTGTGCATGTATTTAAGATTAATTTATGTAGCACTTTTGTCCTATGAGACATGACATTTCGCTCCTCTGTATGTCCACACATGTAGTGGAATGACAATAAAGCTTGACTTGACTTTACAGGTCACGCACTCCATTTCTAAGGTATTTGGTGATGTTACCTTCAGAGTGGGTGTGTGAGCCACTCTTTTCTGCACTGTAGTAGATATGGTCTTTGACAGGATACCCGCCGATGTTTGAGCTTTTACTGAAAGCTGATCTGTCACCACCCTTGTGGGTGACAACACCCGACTGCTGGCGTCAGCTAGTAAAAGATCAAACATATAGATGAATGTGGTGACTTCCTAACACGTACTCCTGCTGCAGGAGACTAGAGATTTTTTCATACCAGGCTTTGAGGAGGGCAGGGAGGCATTTGGTCGGTGTGCCACCCGTCGTTTCTCTCCAGAGATTCCCAGCACTGGGTTGCTGGATGCGGATGCAGATGCAGTCTTTACAGCCTCCGCTAGCTGTGCTGCCTGCTGCTGTGCTTTCTGCATGCGCTGGTAACAGATCTCCTGTGCTGTCATCCTCCGCTGCTGCATCGGCACTGAGTTCATCGTCGTCTCAGACTGAATCAACACAATCATTGAAGCCATTTGGTAATTACAATTTCTCAACACAATTATGATTGTTTGTTTGATATTTTAATAGTACAAATGTTATGAACTTTATTTGGACATACTATTTTTCCTTTAAATAACATTAACATTAAAGAAATCAAAGCAGAACAGCAACTAAGGTATTTTAAAACAGGAAATTTTAGATGAGCTACTTTTTTTAACAAGATTTTTAGCAATTTGTCTGTCCACACCAGACAACCATGAGATGTTAAAAAATCAATTAAAAATCACATCTAATCAAATAATAGTGTTCATAATTATGTTTATGCTTATGGTAAAGCTATAGAAATTGAGTGAGAAGTGAAATTACAAACATTTTCTAGTCATTATTATTTTGACTGTGCTCTAGTGTCAAGTAGTGGTGTGTTTAGGTTGTACAAAGACGAATTAAATTAATGAAATTACACTGTAAAATATGCTGGGTTTCACACAATTGATTTGCATTGTGACATGAAGGAATTAAGTCACATACTATAGTTACAACTAACAAATAAAACTCAAGAATTGTGTATATATATATATATATATAAATATGCGTGCGCGCACACACACACACACACACACACACACACACACACACACACACACACACACACACACACACACACACACACACACACACACACACACACACACACACACACACACACACACAAAGCTCAGGTCAGAACTCTTAGATCAGAGGTGTCCAAACTCTTTCTTATGAAGGGCCAAAAACCTAACTTGATTGAGGCTAGTGGGCCGAAAGTAATATAGTTGCCATAAGTAATTCCCTAATTCATTTAATAATATTATTTAAAAAGACTAGAAAACACTGCTTTATATTAACTAATTACACAATTTTTTTGCCTTAATTTGCTCACCGATGGCTTCTGCATAGTCCTCTATCCATCGAGTAACAGCGTTTACATTTTTAAAATCAGATTTATTTACAACATTTAAATGAAACGTTTAATTTCAGTTAGCTTTTTGTAGATCTGCAATAAAACAAAACAAAAAAAGGTTTTGTTGAATCAGAAATGAAAATCTCTGTGTTAAAGACAAATCAAAGGTTACAATGGGACAACTTTGGCCCGCAGGCCCTACTTTTAGCATCTCTGTCCAGATGAACAGAAAATTAAAAAGATATGTTTATATTCAGTGTTCAATCATTAGTGATCATTAATTATACAAATTCAAAACACAAGAGAACATGTCGATCTTCATTTTAACTCTCACCTTTCCTTGAGCTTTAAAATGAGACACCCTCTTCTTCTGGCCAGGAAAAAGTGTAGTTAAAGTGCTTTCTGTTTCTTCGTCTTCCTCCTCTGTTTCCCTTGAAGGCTAAAAACACACACATGCACGCATGAAAGCGAAACTGAAAATGTCAGCTGCGCGAACATTCCCCAAGAAATTTGCAAAAACCTATGAAGGCATTTTGACTCTCAGTTGCAAGCTGTATGAAACTTCACATCAGCAAATGATTCATTCTAAATGACTGTCGTGATTAACAGACAGAAAGAACTACAGTACCTGCTTAGCTTGTCTCCCTTTGTCTTCCATCTTCACTTCCTTGGATTCATTAAATATCCGCAGACACTCCTCCATGGGGTCCGAGTCGTACTCCATCACATCCTGAAGACAGGAGAAGTCCTCTGTATCCACACCACCATCATCTTCATCCACTTCAGAATCATCTTCTGATGACGAAGAGCTTTTCCTCTTATTATTGACGAGGCCTCCTCGCTTAAAAGCAGAAGCCGACTTCCTCACAATCCTCTCGTCTTCCTCATCTTCCTCTTCAGCACTGTCAGCGCCGAACAAGTCCACGTGGCTCAGATTCCTCTGTTTGGTCTTCTTTGCCTCTTTGTGGTCAAGAACTGAGATGCTTTTTTTACTTTTATCCTTAGTGTTGCTGCTGCTGCTCTTCTTTTTGTCCTTCTCCTTTGAGCCGCTCTCGAGTTTTCCATTCTTCTGGTCTTTGATTTTGGATAACACCTTATCTGTTTTGACAGGCTTGTCCATTTTGGGTTTCTTAATGCCGTCACTTGATTTATTTTTTTCCTTGTGGCTACTTTCAGTCTTTATTTTTACTACCTTCTTGTCTTTTTCCTCAGCGCTCTTCGACGCCGATTTGTCTTTATGTGACTTTTCCTTGGATTTACTGCTTCCCTCAATGTTCTTACTTTGACTGTTGTCTTTTTTACTTGAACTCTTTGACGTCTTGTCCACACTTGAACTGTCCTGTTGTTCTTTTTGACTCTTCTTATTGGAGTCTTTGTTCTCTTTTTTAACTTTATCTGTTTTATTAGTTTTGGTCTGACTCGCAGACACCTTTTTGTCTGTCTTTTTGTTTGTCCTGTTCACATCCTGAGACTCTGTATCATCCGATTCGCAAGGTGAAAAGTAAGCGTCTGTTTTAGATATTTGTTTTTTCTGTTGTCCCATTGCACTTGACTTTGGCAAGCCAATATTAATCCTGTTGTGCTTTAGACGACTTACATTCACCGGGCGATACTCCGTCCCAGAACTTTCCTCATCAGATTCAGAGAAGCTTGCAGTGTATTTTGGGACATCTGCTTTAGTAAACGACGACTTCGGTTTCTTCACAGTTGGGACATATTCCTCAGCTTCCCCTTGTTTTTCAGAGTACAATCTCTTTCTCCTCTGTCCCGCTAAAGCCAAAGTCTTTTGTTCTTTAATGGTTGGCTTAGCCGAATAGTTCGACAGAGGATCATACTCCATATCTGTTGTTGGTTTGGAAGTATCCAGGGTGTATTTACACTTGGCGTGGGACGGTGGCCGAGGTGTAAGCTTCTTAATATTTGATTTGGAGACAGCAGTGGGCACATACTCCAACGCATTGGCATTGGTGTTCTCGGTGTCCAAAGTGTATTTACTGGAGTGAGGGGATGGGGTGTATTCACTCGCCTGGTCCATTTGATAGCTCCCAGGATCATAGCCCTCATGGGACGGTACTGGGGGTTTGTGTCTCTTGACAGAGCTTGTGGTGGGCTCATATTCCTGATCTCCGATTTGAGATAGCTTCTTCTTGTCTCTTTCCAACTCACTGCGAACAGCCTCAATGGCCCGATTGACCAGCTCCAGCTCTGCTGTACCCAGGTCCACATCCTGACCCGTCGACGGTGGCTCGCCATTATACTGCTCTCTTGGTCTTACAACCTCTGGACTAAATGGATCATATTCTTGATCTGTAAGCAGAAGTAAATAGATTAAAATGATATAAAGTAAAAATATCAGAACAACATACAAAATATTCTATACAGAAATATATATATATATATATATATATATATATATATATATATATATATATATATATGTATGTGTGTGTGTGTTTGTAAAAATTTAACTTCTAACATTAATAGACATGGGATGATAACCGTTGAAGGTATGCAGCGGTTTGGAAAAGTCAAGGTTTTAATTTTCTGCTATACTGTTCCTACAGTATATGCATGATGCTGTTTTAAATTGTAAAGAAGCTGTTTTTGAAAGTAAAGAAGACAGCAGAAGTTAATAATTCATTTGAATGATTTAGCCTGACATGTTTACTGCTCCAAAAATTTTTAAATGTTTCTAAAAATAAAAAATATTGTTCAAAAGGAAAAAAAAAAGTTTTACTTTTTTACCCAGACAATTAAAAAGAATATGTTTTAGAGTACAAAAGTGCATTTTGAGAGAATCAAACAAAAACAATGGTAAAACAAAATATGTCCAGTTTTACATGTTTAATTTCTTTAGCTTCCAGGTATTCAAAAAGAGCCACACATTGATCAATTTTATGATTGCTGTTTTAACATTAAGCTATGATTGAACTGCCTCTTGTTACAGTTATCAAATAGTTTGATAACAAGCAGGAAATGTTCATGGACCAATGATATCACCACTTTGAAACACCTTTATCTATACCGAGACATTTTTATCGAAGGTTATCATACCATCAGAATCTTATACCGGCCCATGCCTACACATTCACCTTATAAGCATATTCGCACACATCCACACTTATCCGAAGCAACTTACAAATAAGTACAATACAAACAATTTGACCCGCACAAAAAGCAACAATGCATGTATATGTACATAAATAATGTGAAAAATATCTGAGACAAGCAACTAGCTTCATGCAAGAAAGTGGTGATCTAAAAAGGCATGTGTCTCAATGACAGATTCTAGTGGTCCGGTCCAAAAACTGATCCCTGAGGCACCCCAGAAGCTACATATTGCATCTTGGACACTTTATTCCTCTAAAACAAGGAGTTATCAAACTTAAACAACCAACTAACACAAAATGTCCCTTTTATTACCTAGATTAAAAAAAAACACACATCCACGCCTATCCAAAGCAACTTACAAATAAGTACAATACAAACATTTGGACCCACACAAAAAGCAACAATGTGTGCATATGTAAATAAATAATGTGAAAAATATCTGTCAGACAAGCAAATAGCTTCATCAAAAAAGTGGCGATCTGAAAAGACATGGGTTTAAATGACAGATTCTAGTGGTGCCATTTAGATGGAGAAGAGAAATAATTCCTGAGGCATCCCAGTTGCTATATATTGCATGTTGGACACTTTATTCCACTAAAACAAGGTGTTATCAGACTTAAACAACCAACTTACACAAGAGTCCCTGTTTTACCTAGATTTTAAGAATAACACATTCCTTACAACAGAAACACATTTCTAACCAGCTAGATATGGTGTGTATTATTAACAGATAACTAGGACTGTCTGACACACGGCATGACAGATCCCGAAATGTATTCGAGGGTTGCGTTAGTTTCTTTGTGTCGGCAGTAGTAAGCTCTGGTACTTTTAAAACTATCGTAAACCCCAAATTTACACAAAAAAAAAAAAAAACTTGAGACCACAAAGACATTTTAATTCACCGTTTTGATTCGATGAAAGCGCTTTAGTCTTTTTGATGTCGTATATCCCAGAGGAGCCTCGTCTTTGTCTGCTGTGCCTGAAGTGACAGTATGGTCTGCTGCACCCATCAGCACCTGATTTCCCATTATTATTCTGACAGTAAAACGGGCAGTCAATCCCACGAAAGAACCCTGTTGATCTCAACATAACCACTGTCAGACTATCTACCGATCAACCGGTAGGTTTTGCCACTAAACGCGTGGTTATTTGCATATCCGTATGTTGCCACTTTCTTTCGGACAACAACAGACTTCCTACGACGCCATATTTTATGAGCGACAGACGAACGCGAGGCCCCTGGTGCGCGTCGCGTTCGTTACGTAACATAGTCGTTCAATCAGTTGCCTGTGGGAATGAGCGTCGCGCTTCTGTTTGAGGACCAGCTGTTTAGTTTTTAATTAGTTTAACGTACACCACATTGAAGTAGTTCCTGAGGCTTTATTATTAAGCCATTGTGGGTTTATCTTATGATTATGTGAGCAACGCCCCTCCAGTGGCACGTTTGATTGTGACATTTTATAAGTTTGACAGAATATCAGTGCGACTTTGTGTGTCAGGTGAGTGTAAGCACAGTAACGTTATATGGACTGGACAATATTCATAATAATTGAGACAACACACATTTGCTTTATTTTAGAGATGGGGAGAAAAGGAAGTTTATTTATCGCCAGCATATCTGCTTCTGGATGACCTGAAAAATAGAGATAACTTTGCTTTGGGTGGGGGTGGGGGGAGTGGCAAGACTTAAAACACGGAGAGGTTAGTTATGTTAATATTACCTCACCTAAAAGTGAGCTTTTTCATTTATTCAGACCAAATATGCGCTTAAATGATGTGCTGCTTTAATAAAGTACTACGGAAAGTGATGGCCTTTTCTGTTACAGCATTCTTCAGTAGCTCTTCCTTTGTGGTTAACAGAAGGAAACTCAAACCAGTTTAAACAAGTGGAGTAGTTCACTTTCAGTGACTGACAGTTTGAATTTACTAAAACTCATGTTAAGCTGCTTTGAAACAAGATCAACATTTTAAAAACGCTTTTAAACTCAGTTTACCTGAATTTAATAGAATAACCATCTCTTTAAGAAACTGACTGCGTAATCTTACAGATGCACATAGAAGGGCAATTATAAACGCCATCCAGTTTTTTCAGCTGGCTATGCAAATTGTACAACAATGGAATTTATCCCATAAGCAGAGCCAGATAGAATATGTAGACTTTTACCATTTTAGAGCAGAACTTTGTAAAATCTGCCCACTGATTAGTAAAGCAACAAAACACTTTAATAAAAAAAAAAAATTTTTTTTTAAAGGTTTACAATTTAAATTAAAACCACTTCATATCCATAGGTTGTTACTTTACAAACTGTATTGTATATAAAAAGGTTAAATTTAGCATGTTCAATGTTACTGAAAAAAAAAAAAATACAAGCAAAAATATAGAAAAATACCCACAAGTGAACTTGGTCGACCAAAAAAATAAAAATAAAAAAGTTATAGAAAAATCAAAAGGTTTCTGCAGGTACAGATTCTATGTGGGTCTGGTTATTGGTTAAAAAAAAAAAAATCAGTAAAACTTGTAACAGTCATAATTATGCAGGTGATGCAATTAAACCATTGACTTAAATTTTTCACAGATTTTATTTTGTAATTTAAAAAAAAAAAAAAAAAAAAAAAAAAAAAAAAAACAACACTTGAACTGCACATGAAGACCATAAATCATTTACAGCTGTAAACCTGCATCCAAACCAGTCCTATACACATTATAAATAACCATTTAGTAAACACTACTCAGCAGATAGAAGATACAAAAGAAAAAGGTTTACTCTCTACACTTCAGAAAATATTTTGTATTAAGGCAACATTAAAAATAACTTTAACATCTCACTCTTTCGTAAGGGAAATAATACTCACCTTAGACATAATAATAAATGTACAAAGTCCAAAAACAAAATCATTTATATACCAAACGTGTTCTCCTCATTCAGGTAACTGCAACTAGAAGTTTTAACGTTTCTAACTCCATTATGAAGCTTTTTGTTCTCACTTATATAAAGTGTTCACACCTGAATGAGCTCTTCTCTTAATTAGCAGAACTTATCAGCCTATCAGAAACAGGGTTTAATTAGAATCTAGCTGAAATCTTAATCTATCATTGGCTATTTTAAATGTGTGAATTATCCTAATTGGCCAGTTTCCTCCTGTATGAAGTGAGAGAGGGTTATTTCGTTGAAAGAAAATGTTCATTTGCAACACTAGAGGGAGACACACCATAGTAGATGTGGGAAGTTTGAACGTCTAATGCAGTTGCAAATCAAAGGAATATGTGATATGCTTCTTTTAAATAATAATAATAACATTAGTCATTAATAAAAAAATATATATAATTTTAATTCAATATATTATTAATTATCCGAATATCACAATAATACTCAATTTTCTAGTTATTATGCAAGTTTTTTTGGTCTCACTTTATAGTTGAGAGACTATTGGAAATGTTTTTATTCATTATTTGTTAAATATTAATTTGTCACACTCCAGATGCATTTAAATAAATTAAAATAATGACAAATAAAGAAATAAACGATTAAAATAGTTGTAATAAGTGGTGTAAAGTGTTTTAATTAAATTAGATCAAGTATTTGTAATTAATAAAAAAAAATTGAAGTGTTACTCTGCATAACTATTTAAATAAGCAGCCCAAAATCTAATGAAGACATTTAAATACAACTATTGCAAACATACAGTTGAAGTCAGAATTATCAAAAGTCAGTATAGTTTATTACATCAATAGTCAGTTACATAAATGCTAACTAATAATGGCCCAGAACTCTGAGCTCACTTGAGTCACGAACACAGACTTGAGAACTTGAACTGTGTATTTGTTGACTCACTGCCTCTGCATGTTCCTGTTCAACCCACACTTTTACAGTAGGCTGATCAGTAGATTTCCATGGTAACAGTGAACAGACTTTAACAGTGTTTGCATCAGCCGCATTCATCAGTCCAGAAAAATCAGCAGATGTCTATGCAGCTCTGCAATGTTTACTTACTGAGGTGACACACCATGTGACTCATGCTCAGGTGACAGCGATGGCCACGATTATGTCAACATTACAGTCAATCCAAAAAAAAAAAAAAAAGAAATGTCTAAGAGATTGATCTTTATTAGAAGTGTCAATGTTTGCAGTTTCAGCATGTGGTACGAGGCTCATGATTGTGTGTGAGCTCTACAGAGAAGCTGAAAGAAAGACAAAACAAAAAAGAAATTTGTTTAAAGAATTTTATTGCATTTTTTGTTGGTTTGCTTTGTATAAAACAATACAAAATCTGCCACAACAGTCATAAATTTAGCTTTGAGTGAACTGCAGTCAGCCACATGGTACAGTAAAGTGCTTTTTTTAAAATCAATACCTATCTTGTCGCAACTGATGACCAATTTCAGAATTTTCCCCCAATTATTTGACAAAATTTAGAGTTAGGAAATGGACAAACAGTGCTCTTAAGCGTTCTCGACAACACCCCAAAAATAAAGCCTTCAGACTAGAGGGTCACATTTGATCATTAAAAAAATAAAACAATTGTAATATTATAATAATAATAAAAAAAAAAAACAATTGTGCATCTGAATACTTTTATCCCAGTAACCTTTGGGATGGGGAACAAAATAAAAGAAAAACAAAAGAAACTTCATTTTTCAAGACGTTACATTTGTTTGTATTGGCTAATATTGGGCTTTGTACAATAGAAATATTAAATGAGAACTTTCTAAATCCCCCTTAGTTTAAAAACAAAACAAAAATCTTGAAAATCCAAGTCAGATTTCTTAATACAAGGCAACCCATAACTACCATATGGGTAAAACAGTGGTGAATCTTTAGTCAGAGGCACAGGGGCTTTTAGAGGACCAGCCTAGCGCCACAGACACTTCAGAAAATACAAACCCAAAACTTTTGGGATATCTGCAATATACCAAAGCCTAGAAGAAAGACAAAATACTGAACAGAAGTGGCGGAAATGATACTTTCCAGACCAAAGATTGCTTTAAATCTCAGCTTATGAATGTTTTTTTCTTTGCCATTTGTACATTATAGCAAAAAAAGCTTCCTGGACAAAACATGAGGAAACTTTTGCACATACAATTCAAGTCTTACTATAAGACATAAAACCCCCCACAAAGATGCATCTGTAAAAAGATTCTTGAGGAAAGACAGACAAATCAATAGTTTACAATCAGTGTCATAATAATCAGCATAATGGGCCCCTCAAAACCAGGGACTGCCATTAGGTTTATCATATCTCAGAGCAACACGACAGAACAGGTGACGCTCTAAAAACATTCAACAGGATAATATTGTAGGGCAATTCAAACTCCCATTGGTGACGCTAAACGTTTGCCGAATTTATAAAGACTTCATCTGAATCCAGACATCTGGGTTCAGATGCTTTATACACCTTGGAGAAGGAATGATGCTCTGGTTTAAGCTTAACCAAGTATGCTGGCATAAGCTAAAGATACAAGATCAGCACTCCCAGACCCCTTGGTGCATTACTTTAGAAATAAGCAGACTTTGGCAATAAGGGTTGCGTCTTATTAAATGCATAAAGCCACCAATTATTTCAGAGAGAAAGGGGAGTTTTAAACGACCCCTAAGTCACTTCCAAAGCAAGAACATAGAGTAAAATCTCCGATTTGTACAGACTATACGACTCCCTCTCTTTCTTCCTTCGTATTTTTTCCTTCCCAGTCACATTCACATACTCTTCTCGCTCTTATACAGCATAAAAAAAAAATCAACATCTAGAAAGTAACAAAACTATATAAAAGGGAAAATGTTCCACCTGAACAGCACCTGCATAAAAATAAGATAGAAAATATGCTTTCAATAAAAAAAATTAAACGAAGCTCAAAGTTTGAAACATCAGTGTGGCACACTCTGAACTGGAGTCAACCATTAACGTATAAAAAGAAAGAAAATAAAACATAGTAAACTTTCTTAAACCATTTCACGCATACAGCTACATTTTCTTGGAAGACTTTTTTTTTGTTTAGTTTTTTTTCCTTTTTTATGGAATGCTTTTTCCTTTTTTTTACATTTTCTGTAACTTGAAAATACTCTCTCTTCCTCTCTCTCTTAACATTTATATAGTTTGCTTTTTAGTGGCATCAACAGGCTGAAATTCCAATATTTTCGTACCATGATCACCCCCATTAAGTGGGGAATGAGCTCAAAGCATTATCTTCCTGATACAGACCAACGTCATTCCTCTAGCCACACCGGCAAACATGTGCTTGTGCAACCACCTGGCTGCTTCCCAGCACTTAATCCCTGTTGTGCTCAGAAATGTTTATATTCTCTCTTATCTGCTAACGATAAGATTTTTGGTGAAATTTTTAAGAAACCGTTATGGTTTCCTAGACAATGGCATCTAATACTGCAATTCTAATTTAGGTCTTGCACATCAAAAAGTTGCCATACAATTAAAATTGAGCAGTATCTTTATTGGTTCCTCAACCACAGGAACCAATGTCTTAAGTAGACTGCTGGGATAGTCTAGTGAAGTAATGGATGTCAAAGGATTCACTCTATTAGGACAAGTGCTTAAAAAAACAGAGGGGGAAAAGCTTCAGATCAGGGGATTTTCTTATCTGAATTAAAAGGCTATGGGAGGATGGAGAGTGACGCATTAAGTGAGGTGAGGCACTATTATCAGAGCTTCGCTCCACTTATACAAGATATCCACTAAAGTAATGCAAGTCAGAATAGCCTTCATCAGGGTTGCATAAGCACATACCAGTATGTTGAGTATCTGTTGAAAGGAAGGGGAATAAATGCACACACACACACAAATGCGCGCACACACACACTCACAGGAAGAACTTTCCTGAAAAACAAAATGCAGTTGTATCATCTCTCACAGAGAAAATTCACAGTGGATCCAGTTGTAACGTGGAAGCAGCACAAAAAGGTTTAGGTAGGGATGGTGGAAGGTATTAGACCTTTGGCGTCTGAGCTGGTATTTAATGCTTTACCTTTAGACAAATTTTCTAATGTCTGATGTAACCCAAACATTATCCTAAAGAGAGTCCAGTTCATTTGCCTTGAGCTCTTAAGGTGTTTCCCAAACAGTTGAGGGTTGATAAAAGTGCTGCTGGAGCTCTTGCACCAGTGCTTAAGGAAACTAACGGGATCTGCGACAGGCACAAACTGAACTACCATTTAGGAAAAGACTGGGTCCCATTGAAGTGGGCAGAAGAAAGGGATTTGCACAAAAGGTAGCAGATACTTGTTCATTCATCCATTTGAATTTGGAAAACTGTTCAGACAGAGCCCAGCTCAGCTGATCATGCACAATCCCCCACAATGACCAGCGGTGCCAGGAGCTGCCTGAGCTCTGAGGCAGACACGGGCGCTCCTTTCAGTAGGCTGCTCCTCTGTCTGCGCTTGGCCAGTTTGGAGTTGGAGGGAGGGGAGAGGCGCATGGATGTGGAACTGGCTGTAATGACCTGAGGAGAGTCCTGCTGCTGTTGTTCTTCCAGGTCGTCTTGCTGGGCCAGTTGCCGGTTCATGGCTACAGCTTTGCCCGCAAAGAAGGTCAGATCCTTAGTGCTGCTATTCCTACGAGAGTAGACAGACATGGTTAGCCTGATGAAGATTCAGTTAGTAGCATGCACCAACCAAAATGCTGATACCAACTCAACTTACCTTTGAGGCAAGTTGGATGAGGGGAGACAATCAAAGGCACCCTGGAGAAAGAAGAAAAATAAAGGATTTAGAATAATCATAATATGAGAGTCTTGGAAATGCAGATAAAGCATCTAGTTCCTTACCCCTTGTACCCAGGGATGTTGGAGAACCTGAGCAGCGCTGAGACGTTTCTTGGCGTCCCGTACAAGCAGTTTGGAAATGAGGTCTTTGGCGCTGGAGGAAATATGAGCCCACTCTTTCTCTGGAAACTCATACTTTCCCTCCTGGATGCTTTCAAACAACATGTTCTGGGAGTAACAGGAGATGAGTTTTATTCATAGAGCAGCCCATGAATGATACTTCTGACGTAGGTTTATGACAGTGGTTAGCATAAAAAGACAAGGGTGTGTGATGTACCTGGCAAGCTTGACAAGGTTCTCCATTCTCCCATCCACAGTCACTTCCACAGCGACCCACAAAAGGAGGGTAACCGCTTAGCATGATGTAGAGGATGACGCCCAGGCTCCACAGGTCACAGCGCTTATCGTAAATGGTGGCCTCCTCGTTGAAGGCTTCCACAACTTCCGGCGCCATGTATTCAGCAGATCCACACTAAGGTGAGAATGAGTAAAAGAGGAAGAAGGGGTAAGAAGGCAATCAACTAAACCAGAGTCATTGCAGGCAAGAGACAAAATAAAATGCTTGGTCAAATGGGATGTGCAATGAAGCAAGCACAAGAACAAATGTCCAAGTGTTTATTATGTGCTTGTCTAAAGGACATTTTCTCTCCAAGTTTATCTTCACAATTTTGCATTCAGCTGACAAATGTCATGTGTTTTCCAGGGCCTCTAAGCATGTCTGAGACAGACAGTGTGAGAGTCACATGGAAAACAGCGTATTACACCAAACTGAAGGGGGGCTGGCGACAGATTAACTAGTTGAAGTATAAAGGATTCGCCTCCGGTTCCTGCCTACGAGACACATTTCTGTCTAAATGGAAAATGCGATGGTGGAATACAGCATCTATAATGAAGTAACCTTGGTAACGATTGTTATGTCATAGATGGAGGCGGCTTGGTGAGTCATACAGTGATTTGAGGGCTCAGCTGCAAGTGCAGACTGCCTTGTTGGTTTGGGCTCTGACTGCCTCTGCCTGAAACTAGGTCACGAGTTGGGACAGGAAGAAGAGGATTGTGTGTCCCAGAAAACTCACATACTGTGCTTGACCAGCGATGCCACTGTGCTTTGTTATCTAACAGCAACACACATTTTTTTGCAACTACAGCACAGAGCCACACATCCTTGATGTAAAAAGATTAAATCTTTCTAGAGTAAAAGTTCAGTAGTTCAGCAGGACAAACAAAGACCTTCTGGAAAGATCCGCAGAACTGGGCCTCTAATTTTTCCTCTACAGGATGGGCCATCATGCTGCATTAAGCACCTATAATTATGCAACTTCGACTGAGGTCAGTGTTACAAAATAACTTGCTTTAGCTTTTTTTCCTGCCCCAAGAGTTCACGAATGCAGTTCTAAGGCATACATAGTGTTCCCACTGAAAACCAGATTTCAAATTTACTCACTTTTCCCTGATTTAAAAAAAAAAAAAGGAGGAAAAATCATATTGTTTTAATACATTTAATTACCGGTTGACACGTTGGCCCCAAAAATGAATTAGCCATCAATTGATTAATAGAACATAACATATGAAACCACAAAGAAACTAAAATATCTGATATTTCATGACTAGGAAAAAATATATAAAATTTCCTGACTTTTAATGATTGGTATAGACCATTTAAAATTCATTGATATTCCAGAAATTTCATGACCCCACATTCACCAAGGCAATTAAACCTTACACACTCCTAAATACACTTTTTTAAATGAGGTTCAAATGTGGGTGCCAAACAAACCAATAATGCCACAAATTCAATGACGGGTATGACCAACCCCCTTTCTGTGTTTTCACAGGTGTTCAAGTGCAACATGGTCATGTTTTGGTTTGGTGATCTGAGGTTAAAGGAAGCAGTCGGTCTGCTCGCCTAGTCTCTTTTGTTATCCTCTAGCCAGCTGCCTTAGTTGCTCCGCCCTCCAGCACTTATGTAATGCTATTTCGCAGTGCAGGAATCCGAGTGCAGACAAAAGCTTCCACTGTTGCACCCAACCCCCATCGACAAGGCTGTTTTTGCTCACCGCCTCTCAACAGCCTTACATTCAAGTGAACACTTCATAACCACCCCCACTTCTGAACAAAAGACTTTCACAAAGCACAACCTCAATCTTGAACGGCCCAGCTGAAATCATAAACATTGCAACAGTATGCAACTAGTCAGTGGTAAACCAGATTTCTATAAACCAGGGAAACTTAGCACATGTACTCCTCAGATGAGAACTCATGCTTTGCAGGAATCGCCATGTGCTCTCTGAAATCCAAGTATACTCTGCCTTGCTCGAGTGCCTAATCGCTGTGTCTTTGAGATAAGAGTAAGGGGCTCTCAAATGATAATTGCACAGCAGTTTTTTACTTTCGAACTTCAGCTGTAAGACCAGGATAGCATTGCATCAGTCACTTAAGACCAATTCCGTTTTAGCATCTAACACATGCTGATTTTATATACGGGGCTTTCCGAAGCAGGAAAACAAGCTTGAGCAGTTGCGCTGTCAGTTCAGGTGTTTTTGTGGTTGGCAGCAAGGCATGCTTCAGCTGTGTGAGCATACCACCTATATATGCACGTGAAGTTTCCCCTGTGGTTACTGGTACAGAGAACATGTAGTGCAAGATCAAGTGAAAGCACTTCTCACAGTTCGGGCAGGAAGGTACATGCATTTCTCAGAAATTCACATGAAGCATTTATGGTGACACCACACTATTTGTGCACATACAAAAACAATCCATGGTAAAACTAAAAAGAAAAGGCTAAAAAAAAACAGGAGAAGAAATTTCTATTTAAAAAAAAAAGAATGCTTTTTAGTGACAAACAAAGAGTTAACATCTATCTAGCGGTGAAAAAAAAGGCATGATAAGATCGCTGGGATCCTGCCCAAGAAAAACATGTTGAGTGCATGACCAGAGAGAAAACTCCTCCTCCTTTCATCCTCCCTCTCACCAAACCAATCACAGAGCAGTTGCTAGGTGTGGGGTGGTAACACAGATTGAAAGACTAATGCCCAGACAGGCTTGCGGAAATCCACAGAGACAAAAACAAAAGAGAAATGGAGTCGAAAATGTGCTACAGGCAGAAGGTAAAAGGAAATTGCAGAGTACATGCCCAAATGTTTGTTTGGGTTGAATTCTTGTTCTCCTCAGGCTGTTCAGAAGTAGCAGGAAGGAGGAGGAGCGTGACATTTGAACTTTATAAACACTGGCTCAAAGGTTAAAGAATCACAAAGAACTTTCTGATAAACATTTTTTTTTTTGTATCTTGAACCTTTCTTCTTCAAGGTCTCACTCATTGCACAAACGACTGGATTGTTTTGCTGGAAGGTTCGTATAAATAAGTAAGATTCTTCTTCAAAACCTTTTTTTGTTTTTGTATTTGCACAAGAAAGTTGGTCATTCATGTTTGTAAAGCACTGAGAACTAGTAAACAATTTTTATTTGTGTGTGAACCATCTCTCTAAATTCATGCATTGTGCTACATCAAACCCTTTACCCTATGGCATAATCACATGTGCTTAATGCCCCATTAGCAAGTAAAGACAAACCTTGCATTGATTAAATACTAGATACATCAACATAAAAATTATTATTCCGTTCTAAAATAGTCTTTTTCACTAGGCTGCTTGACAGAACTTGAGTTACCCTAAAAGCCCCATGCAGAGGACATTTCACTGTCTATCCTGCCTTTCCATCACCTACTCCATACTGCCTCTCCTCAAATAGTTTATTCTATGAAATTGTAGAAAGATCTCTGATTACATTCACACAGCAAAGATAAAATGTAAGAGCTGCTAATGACCACGCTTCCAATTTCAAATAAATTAAGACCTTAAGTCAATACTATCCACGAGTTTCTGAAGCTGATAATTAAAAGGGTGTAGATAAACTGAGAACAGACTAAATAGTACAGCTCCACATTAGAGTTTGCCCTTTTAAAGCTTCCACTGTGGACAAACAACCATTTTCTGACCTCATCACAGTCTTTACATTGATTAAATTAGCCAATCAGATTGAGCTAAGCTTCTGACACCACTCAAAGTCAGCCAATGGCATTAGACGAGGTCCTCCTGATAAGCAACGACACTTGAAGTCTGCAGATAAGATATACAGACTTTTAAACAACAGGGAGGTGGCCACTAACAGCTTTTTTTGTTTGTCAATTTAATATCTTGTTAGAGCAAGAGAGTATTCAGGGGACAAAAGAGACTTACTGGAGTGAGGAGCTCAGGAGTGGAGATGGGTGAACTGTCGCTATTGAGTTTAATTCCACTGCCCAAATCAAAATCACAAATCTTGACAGGCGAAATCTGCAAGTAACACACACACACACCGGATGATCAGAATCAAAAACATTTGCTCGGAAACAACATCTAAAATTTACAGGCATGAAGACTTTACAGCCTGCCTATAAACCTCAAATCATCTGATCAAACCTTCTAAACCACAAATGCAAAGTTTGAATCAGACTAACCAAACATAATGTGGTAAAAAAAAAAAAAATTGAGAAAAAAAAAAGACTCACCCTGTGCTCGTGTTCACACAAGATGTTTTCAGGCTTCAAGTCTCTGTGGGCCATTCCTACAAGAGCACAAACACAAGTCATGGGTTAGTTGTGCGGTATTCAGGCTAAGTGAGGATTGTCGACGGGGGCAAAGACAGGCAAATGTTTCCAATACAGCTTGTTGCTAAGTGCCACTAAAATTAGCTCTGCATCCCCTCACCCAAGAGTACTGACAGGAATAAAACATATCAGCCCTCAACTTTACCTAGAAATCCAGTGTGCATCCCTCTAGCATTATCCAGTTACAACTCGATACAACATTTAACAACCCCCATAACCTCCCCGATATGTAACACCATCTTCTTATCTCCCATTTCCAGATCTAAAGCACCCCTCCCTATTCAAGTTCTCATACCTTTATTGTGAAGGAAGTCCAGTGCACTCGCAATGTCCTGCACCACAATGCTGGCTTCCTGTTCGCCGAAGTATCTCCTCTTGTGAATGTGGGCCAAGATGGAGCCTATAAGAAAACCGACACATTGTTAACACCAGGGCACACCATTTCACATTCCAAAGCATAGAGTCTCAATTGAATTATTCAGGGCTGGGTAATGTTTCTCAAGAGTAACATAACACTACAGAAAAGACATGTACCTCCTCTGAGCTTCTCAAACACAAGGTAAAACTTGTCCTCCTCCTCAAAGAACTCCACTAGCTCCAGAATACTTCTGTTAGGTGAACAAACAAAATGTTTCGAGTTAAAACAGCATCATCAACAATTGCGGACCACTAAATTGATATCACATTTAAGATGTTTATTGATTATCAAAAGATTATCAAAAGGCTACCTGTGGCCCTGGCACTGGTACAGCATTTCCACCTCTCTAAAAACACGACTTCTGCTGTGTCCTGGCCTCTTCTCAATTATCTACAAAAAACAAAACATCAGGTTATGATCTAAACCAAATAACACGGAGCATTCTGAGGTGACAATTGCCCCCAATTATTATTTTTTTTACTCAAGTAAATATTCCTTAAAAAACAGGAATCAAGTCATGTAATTTCTCAAATATATATAACTCAACTCCTAGAGTCCAACTATCAAACATACAAGCTAAAGTTACTGTTGACATTGCAACTCATTCTCCCCCACACGAGGCCTCTGTTTTTCCTGATTGTGAGCGGCTCTTCCAGCTCCATGGATTAGCAGTGCTATTGAAAGCGTGCAGGCGAGCACACAACATGTATCACAGTTAAGAATGAAGCCTGCAGGCCAGCGCATTCCCAAAAAACCTCAGCGCTGCCACCACACGGCTGAGTCAGCAATCAATCTGCTCAAAAAATTACATGGTGTAATAAATGCTTCAGGCGACCTGAGGGATGTGATGACAAATTTCACCTAGTCGCTCAAGTCTTAACATGTTATTTTCCGCACAGAAAAAGCCTTAACAATATCTTGCTAAATACATTATACATGAAAAGGTGGGAGTGAGTGTGCCCATGAATCTCTGTTAGCTTAGGAAAAGGCCCTATAGAGTCTGACCGATGTCTGTAAATCAAGCCATGCTTGTAAACACGCTCCCCAGGCCCAGCCAAGGAGACTACTGGGATTGTTTTCATTCGGCCGCTCCTTTTGTTCAGACTAGGACGCCACAGATCTCTCCCCCCACCCAAATTACAAGAGTAGGGGGTTGGCAGGACATCTGGTGAGAGTTGTCTGTAACCCAGCCCAGCATAAACTGACCTAATGCTTGTAATGATCCACCCCCCTCAGGGATTGAAACGCATCCCTAAATAATCACATAGTCTTTGTATGACTGGCTACACTGAAAGCAACAATGCCATGAAATCCAACAAGGTGACTGTGAAAAACAACTGTAAAATAGTTTTACTTAATAATAATATTTAATAACAGCAATAATATTATCAACTCTTAAATAGTAATATTATAAAAGCTGGAATGCTGAAGTAAAAAAAATTGTCCTCAAAACAAGCCGATAAGTTTTTTGGCATGACTGTAGATGTTCTAATATACTTTGTTCTAGTTTCTAGAGACAAAAAAAGGAAGATAAACAATCCACCCTAGCCCCCCTTTCGCTTGTGGTTTTTGTTTCGGAAGACTTGCCAGTACATAATGTTCACGTTGTATGATCTACAAACCAATAAGAGCAATGAACGGTAAAACCATGTGACCACTCCAAACCTCAGATTGGTTGGCCTAACAAAAACAATGAGCTCTTTCCGCTAAATATACGCTATAACTTCTGAAAGTACAGTAGAACAACAGAGGAACTGCTTGTTCAAACATCCGTGTCTGCACAAGAACATCGTTCAGTTAAGAGAAAGCAACACAGGCAGGAACAAATACATCATTTTGCAAAATAAACATTGTTCAAGGATAAAAAATAAATAAATATCAAGAATTGTCATTTTTATAAAATTCACAAGTGTGGCCTAGCCTGACTGTGACCCAAACAACCACCCGTTATAGGAATCTAGCATGCCTTCACCAATCACAACCATGCCAGTCAGCACAAAACAACTACAGTCACGTATGCTTGTCAATGAGAGAAATATTATTCCCTCATGATTCAGTTTCCAAGAGCCAGCTTCAAAGGGAAAGTCCTTTCTAACAATAGCCCCTCCAATGCCATATCTGTACAGATGCTTCACATGGAATATCTGTTTGTTTACAGCACGCCACTGCTATTTTAAGTCGACTCTCCTAAAGTCATGTCTGCATTTTGTTAGTTTTGGTTTGTTTAATCACTAAAAAGAGCTTTACCTTAACAGCATATTCTTTTTGGGTGATTTGACTGATGCAGGTCTGGACCCTGGCATAGGCTCCTTCCCCCAGCACTTCATCTTGCAGTTTATATACATCTAAAATTGATATAGAAAAAAAAACAAAAAAAACAAAAACAAAGTGTTATTATTATTAACGCCTTAGTCATGCAAAATTCAAAAATGCCACCCCATCTGATATGCACGTACCCTCAAATCGCCCTGAGAAACTGTCAGTTGCCCGGCATCTCTTTTTCTTCTTGTTTCTCTTTTTGGAATCGGGGATGTCGATGGGCTGGCTGGATGGCATGTCTGCATGTCACAACAGAAAGACATTTAAAAACCTAATACACTGTTGTATAAACACCCACAGGAAATAGCTTGATTATATAAAGCACAAACAAGCATCTTTTATCACATATCTGTAACAGTAAAATATGTAAACAATGGAATAAGGTCATAAAGTCACATGCAGTTACTTTCAGGTCTATCTACTGGTTTCACAGATAGATAATACAATAACTTACCAGGTCGGGCGGAACAATCAAAATTAAAGGCAGATTCAAGGAGATGGGATCCTGTTTTGGAAAATTCCTCCGTTTCAAAGGGATTTTGGCCCTGGAGATGTATAAAAAGAAGATTATTTACAACCTGAACTGTTAGGTCAAGTTGCACAGTGGTAAAATGTTGGCAGATACATATTATCAGGCCTCTAATGAACAACTAAGAGCTTCCTGGCACTCGGATTAATGTTTAAACCATTTCCTGTGATCTCTGATACCCTATGCAATGGAATCAGCTCGAACTTTTAACTCATCTAATGAAAATAAATGCAAACATTTGTGCAAATTATGTGATATGATCCATTGTTTAATGCCTAAACAGCACTTATTTATGCAATAGCAGTACAGACTAGTAAGATCACACTCTCACCTTAAAAGAGCGATGGAATCCGGTAACTTCGGTGATTTTGTTCTGCACCATTTTGTCCTGATTTATGGGACTTTTATTTGGACTGGCGGCAACAACGGTGGTCTTAGCTTTAGTGATAGATTTCACCCAGCTAATCCAATGGCTTGGGAACCGTGGTGCTTTTAACGGGAAACCTGAGGAAGGAAAAGTTTGAGTTTATTGCCATTGGCCATATGCAAATCAGCATCACTTTTTTTTCTGCAGAACTTTATCCAATACAATGACATAAGATCATTGTTAAATTACTCTTTTAAAAAGTAGTCATGTTTGTTTATTATCAGTTTTATTGTCTATTACATGAAATATACATGTCATTAACATTTAACAACATGAAATATCATTAAACCCACTAAAACAAACATTTTATAAACATCCATGTTAACAAAGATCAAGAGCAGAATAAGCATGAGTTACTCCGAATCTCCACATGTGCTCTTATGCGCATAAATTGCAGTTATACTTTGGATCAGTCAGAGTCGATTCAGAAGATTCGGTTCAAATGATTTGTTCGTTCGTAAATCGGACATGTGATATCGTTTTTTCTCTTTCGTTCTATTCTTTACACAGTCACTATGGTATGGCTCCTTATTGAATGGAAATCAAAAATATTACTTGGATAACAACTTCTTATGCTGATTTTGCGGTTATCCTGCCTTAACGTGTTCGCCAACCATTCATTGTTTATGAATAGAAATACTATCTCTTAAACGTTTTCATTGTTCGCCCCACAAAATTAATATGGGTTTGCATCGCCATGAGCATAAATCAAAACGACAACATTAATTCGGAAAGAAATAACGTTAGCTCTTTAAATCGTCACTTCAGCAGACAAAATAAGACTACAGGCGCAGTGAACGCAAGTCACGTCACAAGAAGGGGCTTGCATTAACATGCCCCGGAGACTCGTGCCAAGAATAACTTCGGTAGAAAAGCTTGCTATTTCCGTCCGTTATCCACTCAGAGACACGCGTTATTTTCTGTACGGGACTAATGGGATGCACTCATCAACACACTGAAAGATTACAATAAATGAGAGCCAAACAACAACAACAACAACAACAACAGCCACCACCACACTATACAATGAACGACTCCAATACAACACACAGCTCAGTGACTGCAATCAGTCTAACGTTTAATATATGTGAATAAACACAAAACTTCAGAAACACAAACGATAGATTTAATTAACTTAAATGAAATTTCTAGACCTTTCCAGATAGATCCAAGCAATGAAGCACATCCAGCCGTTGCGCTACGTCATTTTAAATCAAAACCAGATTTAATCTGTTTGTTCCCATCTTCAATGTGAAGCTCGTTCTTACCCCGTTGTTTTCGTTAAAGCTCCAGGCTTGACGCCGTTGTCTGAGCCTCTGCTTCGGGAGCAGCAGATGGTGGCCGTGGGCGGTAGGGGCTAAATGTGTGGAAGGTACAAAAAGACGTACAGTGTTTCTCGCTTTTATAATCTGACGCCCCTTCGCGCCTCCCCTTTCGGTTAGACACGCCCACTCGCTTCTGTAAACACGTAGCGCACACACACTCAGAGAGAAAGAGAGAGCGAAAGAGAGAGAGAGAGAGACACGTGGGCTGGTGACGAATGTTATGATTATAGCCTGGTGAACGGAAGCTCTGCAGTGCTTTGGTTTATTCGCTGTTATTCTCTAAAAATATAAATGTTATAATCAGGTGGTGGTACAGTAATAATAATCCACCTAAATATTAATGAAGACTCATCAAGACGGTCATAAGTCTAAATCGTACGCCTTGTAATAACTAATTGAAGGAGCATTCATTTTGCCTGATGCAATATTCTGCAACAGACAAATGAACTTGTCAAAAACCCCAAATGACTAGGCGAGAGTTGTTGAACAGCTGGTAAGAACAGGTTTTCTGCTGAGGGAATGTCAAAGGATTGGCTAGTGATGATGTATTGAAATGGTCATTACAAAATTAGTGATTAGGGATTTTTTAAAATGACAATGTGACTAATAATGTATTCATATTGTACAAATACACATACAATTTTAGCTTCATAATAATTATTAAAGCTGTACTCTCTGGTGTGGAAAAAAATATATTACCCATGAAATGTTTTTTTTCATTTAATGTTTTTTGTTGTTTCATTATTTGACTTTACTTTGAAATATATAATCAGCATCAGTTACAGTATGTCATCAAACAGCCTTAATTGTCTTCCTGTGAAATAATTGTTTAATATGTAATTCCACATTTATAACCACTACATATTTTTTAAATTATCTAATTCATTTATAATTTCATTCATTCATTTTCTTGTCGGCTTAGTCCCTTTATTAATCCGGGGTTGCCACAGCGGAATGAACCGCAAACTTATCCAGCAAGTTTTTACGCAGCGGATACCCTTCCAGCCGCAACCCAACTCTAGGAAGCATCCACACACACACTCATACACTACGGACAATTTTGTCAACCCAATTCACCTGTACCACATGTCTTTGGACTGTGGGGGAAACCGGAGCACCTGGGGGAAACCCACACGAACACTGGGAGAACATGCAAACTCCACACTGAAACGCCAACTGAGCCGAGGCTCGAACCAGCGACCCAGCAACCTTCTTGCTGTAAGGCGACAGCACTACTGCGCCACTGCCTCGCCCCTCATTTATAATTGTTTTATGAAAATTTTTTTTTTTTCATTTATGCATTAATAATTTTATATAAAATTTTCCTTACATTTTTGTTAAAAACAACAACAAACAAACATGAACTGGATATATTACCTGGTTTCCGAAAAAATGTACCTAAACAGTCACCCAAATCAAATCCATCTGAACTAAAAAATGTACATGAAGTATCACTTCATGGACTTTACAGATATTTTACTTTTTAAAAACTATTTATTTAATATTTTTAAATAATTGTTTTAGTCGGAACAACCCATTCCCTAACAATTTAACATCTTAGATGAGGGATTAAATAATAAAAATATAATGATAATTTATTTATATATATATATATATATATATATATATATATATATATATATTATAAAATAAGAAAAACAATACTAAATAAATAAGTACTACCATCATAAATCTTTTCAGGGGAATCATTTGTACATCAGGTTACATTGTGTTACATTGTGGTTACCTCAGATTACATTGGTGATAGGTTACTTATCCTCTAAATGTACATATCTAAATATGTTGTAATGCTTTTCCACCATCTTCATTTGTAGACATGCAGTCATTTTTTCCATTACATTGACCTGTTTAAGTCTCTGAATCTACTGATCTACTGAATCTTCCATCCAATGTACTGTTTTTATTTTAATAGATATTTTAACAATGTAACAACACATTGACTTGTATTTTATAGCTTTGTTAAGATTTTTAATAATTATTATTGTGATTATAGATATTTAAAACTGATAACAATTATTATTTTTAAATAATATTTTAATATAACTACAATAATGTTTTTTTATCCACTTTGGAAAATGTCTAATATAATGTCTAATATATATATATATATATATACACACACACACACAAACACGCACACACACACACACACACACACACACACATACATACACATACACACACACACACACACATATATATATATATATATATATATATAAATACAAAAAGTTTTATATTAGATTATTAAAGAACAATGCACGTGGATCCTCCATTACTAGAAATCAACTTCTGTTACTTCTAAAAGATAATAGTCTCATCTTACTTGGAACTCAAACATTCCTTTCCCTTAACAGGATGGCATCTCAATATAGATGGAAGGGAGTGTTGGAAACCACCACCATGCACTCACACACACACACACACACACACACACACACACACGATCGTGACACAAGCACGTTTTCCTGAAACGCTGAGTCGGACACAGCCGTTCACAAGTATCTGATCCACACACTGGTGCTAATGA